TTTACTTTGCACACAAATTCTTGCAACTAATATTACTCTCCTTACATCTGGATAAGAAAATTAGTAAAGATATTGACCGTATGCTCTTTAATTTTATATGGAAAAACCGTACGCATTATATTAGAAAAACTGTTGTGATGAATAAGTACGAATCAGGTGGGCTTAACGTCTTAGACCTTTCTACTTTAAATAACACTTTCAAGATTAATTGGGCTAAACATTTTCTTAAAAACCCTACCTCTATCTGGAACTTTATACCATATTATATTTTCTCTCGTTTTGGTGGCTTTAATTTTGTTTTAAATTGTAATTACAATGGTGAGAAACTCCCTGTAAAGCTTTCATCCTTCCATAAGCAGGTCCTCTTAGTGTGGACCCTCATTTATAAACACAACTTCTCACCTCACAAATACCTTATCTGGAACAACAGAGATATTTTATAGAAAAATAAATCACTTTTCCTGGAAACTTGGGTCCAAAATGGGATCCTATTGGTGGCTCAGCTGGTTAGTAAAGAGGGACAACTACTTACTTACAACGACTTTATTGCACTATATAATTTTCCAATTAGTGTTCAGGAATTCTCAATGGTGCTTGGTGCCATACCCTCAGGGACTTTAATGTTATATAAAAACACTGACAGCTCGATCTCTACCTCAGTCACTCTCCCTGATCCAGCTGAGTCACCAATAGGAAAAATCTGCTTTTCACAGGAACTTGGTAACAGCAATAAGAGAATACGTAGTTTATTCCAAGAAGATAGTCTCTCTCCCATATATAATATCTTATTGGAACCGATTTGTTCCAGATATCAAGTGGAAGACAGTCTGGATGGTCCCCCATAAATATTTGATTGTAAATAAGGTAAAAGAAGTCTCATTTAAAATTCTACATAAATGTTATCCAGCCAGTCACTACATGGTCAAATTTAAAAGGGACATAAATACTAATTGTACTTTCTGTGGGGATCATCCAGAAACTGTGACACATCTTTTTTGGTACTGTTCTTTTACACAGAGATTCTGGAAGGAATTTAGCAGGTTTGTTATTGTCCATATTTTAAGGGAGTTTTCTTTACGATGGGAAAATGTTTTATTCTGTTTCTTTAAGTTCCCCAAGAAGTATGATAAATGTTTTTTATGATAAAGTTGTTAATACTTTTAGCTAAATTTTTTATCCATAAATGTAAGTTTACTAACAAAACACCATATTTCTGTCATTATTTTAAGGATGTGGAAATGTACATACAATCAATATCAGACTCCACCAACAAAAAGGCTTTCAAAACAATATATGTATGTGAATTTTTGTGTGTATTCTTATAATTGTTACCTTTTTCTTTTACTCTTGGCTTTTTGTGTTCATGTTCTGTTGTTTTGTATACTTCATCTGTTCTGTGGAGGTCACGTGCTTCCGGCTACTGTGGAGGTCACGTGTATCCGGTTACTGTGGAGCTCCACAGTGGCTGCAGCCAGATGCTCTTGACACTCCTTAAACCAGGTGTTTCTGTCTGGATTTGATAATAGTTGAGCCAATTATAATCTGCAAATAAATAACAAAGAATTTCAAAACATTACTAAGGCTATCCCTCAAAACATTCTTTGTACAGCATATAATCTTTGTCAAAACCCTGACTATAGATCCCCTGACCTCCCTGAACTCTTGGTAAATGGGCATAACATTACAGCTAACAGTCTAAAAAACTCCCAAATTAGGGAATTATTTACTAATGTTTTTCCCTTATAGATCCAATCCAAATTCCATCTCACATCTGTTCTCCGGTGATCAAAAAGAGATCAGAAAAAATTACCTAAAACTTCCCATTCCTCCCAAAGTTAAGGAGGTCCACTACAAAATACTCTCTGGTATTTACCCTTCCAAAGAATTTCTCAGATGTCGCTTTGCTATTGATAATAATTCTTGCTCTTTTTGTGATGGGGATATTGAATCAACAGAACATTTATTTTATGATTGTATATTCTGTAAAGCCCCTTGGAACGATGTGCACTACTGGCACTTTCCAAAGATTCCAAACTTACTTGAATTTTCTAAAAATGATATTATCTTTGGTTCTCTAAGAAAAGAAAAGAAGCTTGAAAATGTTTTAAATGTAATAATTATTATGGGGAAATTCGTCATTCACAAATGTCGTTTTCTGAAAATAAAGCCGTCCTTTTTTACTTTTCACAAAGAACTCTGCCTCTTCCTCTCGTCTGTTAAATTTATGGACAACAAGCTCTGGTTCTGAATCATGTGATTATTGAACTAGATCTGCTAGAAATCCCCTAAGGTATAACGTTTTTTGTTTTTTTGTTTATTTGTTTTTTTTGTTTTTTTATTCTGTTTTTATTTATTTATTTATTTGTTGTTGTTTGTACTTCCTGTTCATTATCTATCTTCTATATGTTGGAATTCAGCCTGTTCTGATACTATTTCGTGTTGGGAAAATATAATCTTTGTAGAGATTGCCATAATTGTTGTACATTTCTGTGAAAATAAATAAATAAATTTGATAATAGTTGACCTTTGACCCATTTCAGGATAAACCGGTTTTCCAGACACCTAATTGTACGTAAGAGGTTACACAAACATGGCGATGTCCTATTAATAAAATAATTAATGCAATTAATTAACATTAAATATAGTGGCGTGGTTGTTTGTGTGTCTGAGAGGGGTTACTTGAACCGGAAGTAATAAAAGGACTCTAAAATATAAATAATATATAATAATATAATAATGCATTCATAATATAACATAAGCATATAGAGTTTATGTATGAGATTGTTAAACTTGGAATGAGATTAAATTTAAAATATATATTACGTAATTACGTATTCTGCGCGCTCTGCGCGAGTCCACCGGGCAAGCAGGTGCAACCGACACCTCCGGTGTTCCAGATCTACTGGCGTTTAGATCAACTGGCGTTGGTCGAACAGATGTGTGGCAGTCTTGCGTTTCAGTAGCTCCTACCGACAAACCAGCAAAAAAAACGCCAAATGTGTCATCTGTGACACTTGTGAGGTTGTCTCAAACACACTCCGTCAGTCTTGATGCTGTTGAACAACAAAATGTTTAAAAATGTGGCGAGTTTACCTGGTGATATCCTCGTGCGCCACGCGATCGCGAAAACAGCAAACAAGTAACACCACGCCGTTGTTGTTCACGGGACAGCAAGAGTAAACGATCGGGAGACTGTTGTCGTCGTTATCGTTCCCCTCGCACGGTTTATTTCTCCGAATTCAGCGTTTTTGCTTCACAACTACAGCGTGCAGTTTACTTTGTGCACTAACATGGACTCGAGTCAACCAGCGCCACCTCTGGCCAAGTGCCACAGCCTACAGCCAGATCAACCTGTGACACACATCTGCACCACGTTTGAATTCGTGTCATGCACATTTGTACCTTTCAATTGTGTCTGTTTGTGCGTCATGCAAATAAACCTTTGGAAAGAATGAAATGATATCATATATTCCTTATTGGCCTACATTTGTACAAAATTCCAAATTATATACACAAAGTCATAGAAATCACCACTCCAATTGGTCATCATGATTTTAATATTCTCTTTTTCCATAACAATGAAATACGCCTTGGACAAATATGACACATCAATATTTCATTAGTGTTGTCACATCACATCCTGTAAGCATCGTCTGTCTGTGTCTTTTCCCTGAAAATGAATATTTCCAGCCAATATAGGCAATCCATCAACATGGCTGGAGTTATATATAGTCTGTATAAGTGTGGTTAATCTAATGAAGATTTGTAAGGAGACGGCAGTTACTGTGAATTCACAGCAGTTACACAGTGATTAGTAATAAACAGCCAGTGAGAGTGAGTGGATATGACTGTTCCCACCACTAACACATGACCATAGGCCACTACTAGATTAACTTGTGACACATCTGCACCTGCTGCTATGATCACATTGAGTAGAGGCTGAGTGGCTGCACTTACCCCTGGTACATCCAAATCTACCCACAAACATGTTGAAAGATGCAATGCCAGCAATGTGGATTGTCAACACTGAAAACAATCAGTAAGCAAAGACAACAGGGATCAATTTTTTCTGTTTATTTAGCACCCACAACATTTGTAGTCGCCTTCTGCACAGGGGAAGTCCACACACACCGTGTGGTACCACTTTCCACAGAAGGTGCAATCTGCAAGATTGAATGAGATTGTCAGGGTCATTGTCTGACTGTTTATTACTAATCACTGTGTAACTGCTGTACATTCACAGTAACTGCCATCTCCTTATAAATGTTTATTAGATTGACCACACTTATGCAGACTGTATATCACAACCAACTCTAACATGTTTGTTTGCAGAGGGAAGACACAGGCAGACTACGCTAACGACATGTGATGTTACAACACTGGTGAAATATTAGTGTGTTCACGACATTTTTCGTATGGGCAAAAGTATTGATATCAGGATGGTGATTCTTATGTGTATGTCATTTAGCATTTTGTACAAATGTAGGCTGATAATAAATACATGATATCATTTCATTCTTTCCAAAGGTTTATTTGCATGACGCACAAACAGACACAATTGAAAGGTACAAATGTGCATGACACGAATTCAAACGTGCTGCAGATGTGTGTCACAGGTTGATCTGGCTGTAGGCTGTGGCACTTGGCCAGAGGTGGCGCTGGTTGACTCGACTCCATGTTAGTGCACAAAGTAAACTGCACGCTGTAGTTGTGAAGCAAAAACGCTGAATTCGGAGAAATAAACCGTGCGAGGGGAACGATAACGACGACAACAGTCTCCCGATCGTTTACTCTTGCTGTCCTGTGAACAACAACGGCGTGGTGTTACTTGTTTGCTGTTTTTGCGATCGCGTCGCGCATGAGGATATCACCAGGTAAACTCGCCACATTTTAAACATTTTGTTCAACAGCATCAAGACTGACGGAGTGTGTTTGAGACAACCTCACAAGTGTCACAGGTGACACATTTGGCGTTTTTTTGCTGGTTTGTCGGTAGGAGCTACTGAAACGCAAGACTGCCACACATCTGTTCGACCAACGCCAGTTGATCTAAACGCCAGTAGATCTGGAACACCGGCACACCAACATTGGTTGCAAGAAGCATAGAGGTTCCTCGTGCCCGTTTGGTCTCGAGCCACACGAAGTAAGATGGAGATGTCGGGAGCCGCTGGTTTCTTCCTGTATTTCGCCTTCGGAAGCAACTTATTGAAAGAAAGGCTACAGCTGGCTAACCCGTCGGCGACATTTTATAAGACCGGTCGCCTGAAGGTGTGTACAATAAAAACAGCTTTATTATTATTGTATTTAGTCTTTATTATTGCTTCTGTAAACCACCTATTGGCAATGATGTGCTATCGAGTTTGTGACATTTAGATATTATGAGAGATTCGGGGACCATGAAACGGCTTGTTTGGTTGCATTAAATATAAACATATTTTTAGCTTGGTTGTGCGGTGTGTTAAATTGTTAACGTATTAATCTCTGTCTTAACTGTTCTAGTGGTTAATACGAACACCTCCAAGTTCACAGTGTAGTGATTTTGACATCACCTTCGTTCCCTGGCAACGTGAACGCAGCTGGACCTCGGGTATTTTAGCCAGAGGTGTCGTCCAAAAAGTGATTTGTGCGTCTATAACCTGTCCAAAATGTTTCACGAATGATATCAAATCAGTATTAGGTAGAAGGTACAATCAGGTGTTTTTCCAGTGTGAGGTTAATATAGCCTCAATTTATCAATTTAATCTGTCTTTTTTACATTATTTTTTAAAGAGATATGGACACAAGGGAATCGGAAATTGCAATAATTGTAGTATATGTGTGTATAAAAAAAGAACTAGATTGATTATAATGTAGGACGCAGAGTAGGTACAATAATTCTGAGTCATAAGGGCATTTATCAACATAAGCAAAAATATTACATGTAATAAAGACAAAGAAACATTGGAAATCACTTTTTGGCTCAGCAATAATAAAAAGTAGAAAAAATTAATAAACTTAAGCTTAACTTGGAAAACTAACTAAATAATAATAAGTAATAATACAGAAAGCATAGTGGAAAATATCCCTAGTTTGAGTAGTTTGTAGTTTGGTAAAAATCTATATTCACACCTTGCCCGATGAGACTTCGGATGTCAACAAGACTGTGAGCCAACTGCTTTGAAAAAGTTGTTTTTATTCTGTTTATCCAGCACATGCCCTTCATATGCTGGAGGACTAAAACTGACACTGAAACTAATAAAAAATAATAATAATAAACTGAATAAAAATTCAAATGAATTAGAAAATTCAAAACTATAGGAAATTGATGAGCTCATAATAAAATCAAAAACTATATACACTAGCTGTAAACAGTAGCAGTCCTTCTTCCTTTTTGTTTATATGGAAAATTAAACAGTACAGTTATCGTAAATCATACCAAAATTTTAAATGTGGTTTATATAATTGATTTGACTGGTTGCCGATGAAGCTGAGTTCATCTGAGAGTTGCACCTCCCCTGTTTGTGTCAGATCATTAGCTAGCAAAAACAAATTTAAACATTAACCACGTTTGTACCAAGAGGGAGATATTTACTAGTTATTTTCAACCCTCCTTTGTCAACGAGTGGTTTAAATGACAATTTATTATTTCTCAAAAGTCTTGAAGGAATGAAGGATATGGAAAACAACTGAGTCAGCCCCCTCCTGCATTAGCATCTTAGATTGGCCAAATAAAGGTTGCTGCTCTACCTCCTCTGATGTGCCAGCTGTAATAACAGGACTCGGGTGTACTGCAGTTTGACTCTGGTATAACAGCAAAACAAGCTCACGGGGGGGGGCACTGCTGAAATCACAAACAACACCCTTCTTACATTATAACAGTAAAACAAAGAGACTTGGTTGAAATGCTGTTACTTTGTATCCAGCTGCAGATAATGTTAAAGGTAAGAAAAGTGTTTCCCACTCAGATGAAGAGCATTAGAAGTAGCAAATCTCCACATAATGACTGGCATTGTTCTGTGTGTGTGTGTGTGTATAGGACTACAAACTGAACTTTGGCCTGTGGAAAGAACACATAGACAATGCTTGGCACGGTGGCGTGGCAACCATTGAGTCGTATCCAGGCGCAGAAGTGTGGGGGGTCATCTGGACTTTGAACAACGAACACCTCTCAAGCCTTGATGAGTGAGAGCCACACATGAACACGCAGCTATTGGTCCATTTCTGAGTTAATTTGTGTACTTTTAACCAACTGTTTTGTTTTTTAAATTTTTGTTCTTCTTTAGCCAGGAAGCAGTGAAGGCTGGTGTATACTCTCCACTGGAGGTCTCAGTGGAGACTGATAACGGGACCGTGCTCTGCAGGACGTATCAGATGAACAACTTCCACGCCTGTCCTCCCTCGCCACAATACAAACAGGTGCAAGGAAAACACCCTGATTCTTAGAGTATGCAATGAAATAAGATACACTCACCCACCACTTTATTAGGTACACCTTACTAGCGCCAGGTTGGACCATCCTTTTTTTCTTCAGAGCTGCTTTAATTATTCATAGCACAGATTCAACAAGGTGCTGGAAACATTCATCAGAGATTTTACTCTATATTGACAGGACAGCATCACACAGTTGCTGCACATTTGTCAGCTGCACATCCAAAAGGTGCATTACTGGACTGAGATCTGGTGACTGTGGATGTCATTTGAGTGGACATGATTTGAGCTTTGTGACGTGGTGTCTTATCCTACTGGAAGCTGCCATCAGAAGATGGCTGCAGTGTGGTTATAAAGGCGACATACTCAGGCAGCAATATTCAGGTAGGCTGTAGCATTACACAATGCTCAGTAGAGGCCAAAGTGTGCAAAGAAAATAGCCCCCACTCCCTTAGTACCAGCGTGAACTGTTGAAACAAGGCTGGAAGGATCCATGCTTTCATGTTGTTTACATTAATTTTTCATCCTACCATCTGAACACTGCAGCAGAACTCCAGACTGATCTGACCAAGCCACAGTTTTCCCAGCCTTCTGTTGTTCAACTCATTAAGTTTAATTTTCCTCATTCTCCTCTGACCTCTACAAGATATTTTCACACAGAGAGTCTCAATTTCTTCTTTTGCAGAATATGCTCTGTAAACTCTAGAGATGCTTGTGTGGGAAAAATCGCAGATCAGCAGACCATCTGTCACCAACACGACACGTTCAGAGTCACTGAAATCACCTGTATTTCCTGTTCTGATCTTCAACCATGTCTACATCTGTAAAAGCACAGAGTTGCTTCCATGAGATTGGTGGGTGATTAGAGATTGCACTAACTAGCAGCTGAACATGTGTACCTAATAAAGTGGCCAGGGAGTGTTACTGTACATTGCAACACAAATCTCTTTTTTAAAAAAAACAAAAAACAAAACGTGATATTTAACATAATATCTGCTCATGTATGCATCACGCTGTGCCTCACGTAAGGTGGTGTGTCTGGGCGCGGAGCAGCACGGACTCCCCGTAGAGTACAAGAAGAGCCTGGAGGCCGTTCAAACCAACAACTACAGCGGCCCCTCGATCCTGGACCAAATCCCAACGATCACGAACCTGAGATTAAACAGTTCAAATTCAGGTTCCTGAACTTGGAAATGAAAGTGAGCAGAAATGCACCAGAATGAGATATAAAGCAGCTAATTGGTGGAGGAACTGTGGTGAGGAAGTTATCGCTTTTTTGTTTTCTTTTTTTGCAGATTATGGACCTTTTAACCTCAAACATGATTATAAATGATTACCATTATATAACAAGATTGAGACTGAGATATAATTAACAGGACAGGGAAAAATGTTTTTTGTTTCACAAATAACTCTCATGTTATGAAAGTGGCACCACTGTGTGGACAGAACTTAATAATGCATGCAATTTAATAACGAGACGTTTGGCTGAGCCCAGCACAAACCACGTCTTAATCACCGCTGAGCAAATAGATTGTGTTGAAAAATGTGTTTCATTTCAAAGACTAAAAATATGCAGCGCAGACACTTGTTACCACAGTGTTCCTCTGGGGTATATTAAACACTGATGACACACCCTTAAGACTCTAAACTTGTCCGCCTTTTATTACACATAATGCACTGCCTGTATTATGACTTTAAACCAGTTTGTTCACTTCTGTGAAAAAAGGAAAAGAAAGAGGGGCCTGCAGTTTGTAATTACACACAGGGGGGAAAAAAGGAAAATAAAAACATACCTTGGGATGCTTTAACACAGCTTAATTAAAAATTACATTTTTATTACAAAATGAAAATAAAAATGGACCATTCGTGTAAAAGGAAACCATGTTATTTTGTTTACACCACAGTGGCTTTGGACAGTGTATTTATTTTAACGCCTCCCAATATTTCAATATATTTATACTCTTGGACTTATAGAAAATACAAGTATATAGAAAACAAAACAGAAAACCGATGCGGGGAACACCCAATAACACGTTCTAGGTTCTGCTGAATCTCCCGAACAATTTCCTCAAATCTGAGGAAATGCGCAGACTTCACAATGGCACAAATTATAATCTAATCTGAAAGTAAAACAAAGGCTCATGCGGGGAACATGGCCAACAGCAAGTTCAGAACTCAAAACACTTATACATTCTTTAAAAGATTAACTTCCACACTGTGAGATGAGCATTCATCTCAGTAGGTCCACATGAGCTGGTGAGCTGGGCGAGAAAAAAAATTGAAAATAAAAAAGATAGTAATCTCCTTAAACTGTATAAATGTTGAGGGACAAGTGGAGTGAGTAATCTTAAAAGATCCAGTGGCAGAAATCAAAAGGCAAAGGTGAGAACCGGTTAAAACAAACAAGCAAACAAAAAAAAATGGAAAGGGAAAACTTGGTTTGATCAGCTTGTTTGTGTTGCGGTGTGCACCAAATACAAATGAACAAAAATAATGATTGCAAAAAGCAGCAAAAAGAGGCAGAAGCACTTAAGTCGAAACCATTGTGGAAAGAGATATCGTATCTAGCTAAATGCAATGTATCAGACAATACACTTGGACCTGCTTTCCCACAAGGCTTTGCATTTCTGTGGAAAAATATGGACCACTGACGAAGTACTGAAGTCAAACGAAGCACTAATAATGAAGGCTACATTAATAAACCACCCTCTGTTACAGATAAGCTTCTATGTAAGATTATACATCATTCATTTACAATGCTTGATCAACCTCTCAGATGACTGTTAACACAAACGTGGTCATTATTAATGAGCTTATTTTCTTCTTTTAAATGCATTATTTTATTTTTATTAATTTTTTTGCACTTTTTCAGGTTCCACTTTCACGCACTTCTGAGCTCATTCCATCTGCTCCCCACCTGTGACTTTTTCATTTCCACTTTCGTCCATCGGTTCTGGTGCGTCTTCGCCGCTTTCCATCTCCTCTGTCGTGTCAGCTGCTGATTCGGCAGGCTGCTGCTCCGGGATGACCAGGTTGTGCTTGAGTTTGCTCAGTTCGGCCATGTTGAAGCCGAGGAGGATGCCTGCAGTGTTCCTCTTGAGACTCTTCATGCACTTGCTGCGTTTCTTGCTGAAGAGCGCCGCCAGCTCCGCCTTGGTAAGAGACAGCCTCTTGCACAGCTCTTCGGTCTCTGCTTTGGTCGCGTACGGGTTCACGTTGAAGTATTTGGATATGAAGTCTCTACGCTCCTCGCTGCAGCGGCGCTCCGTTGGGGTGGGATCCAGCAGCAGCTTGACCGCCATGTCGCTCTGAACTTCGGGCTCTGGCGGAGGCAACAACTTCTCCTGCTCTCGCTTCTTGCGCATGGCTGCCCTGTGTTCTCGCTCTCGTTTGTTGGCCTCGAGGACCTCCCGCCACGCAGCTTCCAGTCTCCTCTTCGACTGCAGCTCTGCTTCGGTTTCCGGAGGCTCTGTGGGGCGCACGATAGGAATCAAGCGAGCTGGAGCAACCCGAGCTGGAGCCACACGAGCTGGAGTCACGCGAGCTGGAGTCAATGTCTGTTTCATAGTCAGCCCTTGTGGTACTTGAAGGAAGTAGAGACCGGAAGCCTGATTGACCTGCTGAGCTGGTTTTGGTGGCGGCTGGGGTGCTGCAGCAGGTGTGGGTGGTTGTTGTGGCTTGGGTGAACAACGACATCGCTGAATGTGGAGCATCACAGCCTGCTGGGTGACCTTTCCTGTGTACACGCCGTTGCAGTATATGCACTTGAAAGCCTCCGTCTTGAGAATAGCGTGGATAGTGGGTGCTACAAAGTGCTTCTGTTTCAGGTGCTGCAAGTAGTCTGACTCCTGCTGAAACTTTTCATCACAAAAGGGACAGTAGGAGCTGTTGACTTTGACGGGTACGGAGCAGATTTCCGGGTGGTTGCTGGGCTGCAACTTAAAGAAAATCAGATCTAGGGAACTTGTGACCAAGGCGAGCTTGACCTCTGCGTCACCAAGGATCTCTCTTGGCGCAGAGGTGTGAACGTCAAAATAAGGGAACAGGATCCCTCCAGCACCCTTTGAGTAGACTCTGTACTTCTGCCTCAGGAAATCACAGTATGCCTTGCTTGTAGGATTGTGCTGCTTTACATGTTCGATGAGCTGTTTGATTGAGAAGAACAAGGCTGAGCAGTACAAGCAATTCAAGCCATGCAGCAGGTGCTGGAAGACGCTCTTTTCTGATAGTAGAATTTTGCAGGTTAGACATTTCACAGTTTTGTCAGGCATTTTTTTCAGGAATGCAGCTCGCGCAGCTACACTTTCTGACTTGGACGAGGAAGATTTTGTCTGGTGGGCGACCTCGGTGTGCATGTCAAAGACATTGGAAGGGAAGAGTTCATTGCAGAGGGGACAGGTTATCCATTTCTTAGTTTGTGGCGTGGAATTTATTTGTTCAACTGACTTGAGGGCAGTACTTGTGCTGTGAGAGACTGGCACTGCTACTTGCAGGGGAGCAAAAGTGTACGTGGGCATTCCGTTCACCTTGTTGCCAGTCGGGATCAGGTGACTCAGCAGAGACTGTGAAGTCAACATAGTACCTTGTAGGCCGATTTGGTTTGTTGCTAAACTGTGTGTAACTGCAGCAGGCTTGGGTACAGTCCCAGGTCCAGCTGCTACGTTCGCCTGCAGTCCCGACTGAAGGAGGATCTGCTGCGCTTGTGGGGTCTGTTGTGCAGGAGCAGGAGCTGAAGGAGGCGCTGAAGCGGGAGTTAAGGTCACTGGCGCCTGTTTTAGAGCAAGATTCGAAACTGTGGGAAGGTGGACCATAGGCGGTCCTTGGGGCAAAGCACTTCGGAGGGCTATCGTGGCACCGGGCTGAAGCAAACCTTTAGCCTCAGCACTAGCTAGCTGCACTAGCGCTGAGGCCTGAGGTGGCAGGAAAGCTTGGTTTGTTCCAGGGCCACAGATCAGAGTGGTACTGTTTGCAGTCCCTTGTACTTGCTGTAATGTCACTACAGTCCCAGCAGGTTGGCCGTTACTTGGCAAGACCAAAGATTTACTATTGAGCATTTGAGGTTGCTGTGGTTTGGGAGCAATACTTGGGAATGTCACAAACACACCATTCCCATTAGGAGTCGGTTTAACAATGTAGTTCTTATTCTCATAAATCAGAACCTGCACTTGTGTGCTTACTGTATAATGTGATGGCTCGATGAGCATGTGATGCAACATTTGGTCTAGAGTTCCAGTGTTCACCTTGCACATCTTGCAGCAATACACTTTGACAGATGAATTCCCCTGAAGGTGCAACCTGTAACCGATGTACTGCTCTGCCAAACTCTCCATGTGCTTCAGAATAATGTGCTTCTTCATTGCAAAGATAGAAGATGTGGGAAACGCACATCTTCGACACTGATACCTCTCGTTTCCACGATGGGTGGGTAAAGATGTTTCCCTCTGCAGCGGTATCTGGGTGTTTGACACAGGGAGTTTGGCGTGGAAGAACAGCATGTGCTTCTTCACAACCTTGGGGTGGCCGATGAAGACGCACTGTGAGCAGGGTGTCAGCGCACAGAAGGACTGGACGTAACCGTGGCAGCGGGAGACATGGCTCCTGAAGTTGTAGATGTTTTGTGAAGAGTACTTGCACAGGCTGCAGCACAGAGATCGAGACCGATACGGCCACTGAGGACGGAGAAAAGACAATGAAAGCGTAAGAGGAGGCAAAAAAAAGTGCTTTTAAAGAATCCACAGCATGAGAAAATATTTAATTTTTTTTAAATATCAGGTTTACCTTCTTTTGCATTCTGCTGTAGTATCCTTCCGCAAAATCCATCCACTCAGTTTCCTGAAAAGCATCATCTTCATCCGAGTTTTTCTCAGAGTTTTCATTTATTTCCTGCACAGAACACACATATTTCAAATAAAAGTAAAAACACTGTGTGAAACTCCAACTTATCAACTTCCATTTACAGCTGTGTTTAGCGAAGGTTAATTCAGTCTAATGCACTTATGCCAATTCATTATTACCCTGCTCACTTACCCAACACCACAGACATCTCTTGACAGTTATCAGGCCACATCACATCACCCAACCCCACCTGTTGCCATGACAACAACAGAATAACCTAGATATGGTGTCCCCAACCACCAACCCTTCACTCTAGCCTGCATCTCATGTAAAACAAAGTAATACAGACTTTAAAGGAATTTAACTGTATTTATTTAAAAAATAAATAAATAAATAAATAAATAAAAATAAAGCAGACAGAACACAGCTATGACAGATTGTAAGCCTCATGTTCTACACATCTTCCTCCCAGCAACAAAGACAATCTTTACAGTCACTCGAGGTTTTAAGGTGATAAAGATCATTGTCACAAACTGAGCATCTGAAGTGGGAAATGTAGGTTCAGGGCCTCTCACTGAGGGGGTTTTGGCCTTCCCTCCAGTGGAAAACCACAAGAACGGTCATATAAATATTTTTTCAACTGACTTTTTAAAAATTTTTAAAGCAGGCTTTTATTACTTAAATATTTTACTCATCAAATTGCTAAAAAAAACAAACACCAAAATTAAATGATTTGGTTTTAAGGTTAAAACTCAAACTCTTTTTCCTCATCTACAAGCAGACCAATCATGCTCATTTGCATCC